CTTCAAGTAGTGACACTGCAAGAAAATAAAGCTCACACTTTTAATTATAACAAGTAGATGTAATATATCACAATATAGTTATTGTTTTATTTGATCATGTATTTAAAATAATAATTATCATTATTTGGTATTTAATGTGGGCTCACATCAAATTACTTTAAAATCTCAAAGTGATCATAATTATTTTAAAGGCTATATAAGTAATTGATTTGTTGATTAATTTTTTTATCAATCAATGTCACTCTCTGGGAAGAGGAACAAATTTAAAAATTGCTTCTTGTAAAGAAAATTCACAAACAGTAATATTACAGTTACTGTGCACTTAATGAAATAACAAAATACTAATTAATTATACAGTTTCATTACATTTCTAAATCAAATTATTAAACAAATCTTAATTTCATTTGAAATTTAATAACCAAGATCTAATTGCTAGCCTTGCATCATTGTTCACCTGTGGAGACAAGAAGCTCTGTAGCATGGAGGTAATATTTCTTTTTCTTGTATTTCTCAATTTGTTCTGGGACATTCTTCACCTGGTCTCTAAGAACATATAAAAAGTAAGCAAAAGTCAAAATTGATAGTAAATAGTTCAGAAATTTCAATGTTCGTGCACATATTAAAGGGCGGTTTCTACAACATGAATGAACCAGTAGAACTACAACAAGCTTGACAGAAAAATTACAGCTCCAGCCTCTGAATCTCAAAATTACCTCAGAGTGGAGATGGAAGTTTGAACTCATTTAACTGACTGGATCTTAAAGGCTAGGGATTTTGCCTGGTTATAAGAAATATGAATTCCCCGACCCGCTACTTCAGTACATAGAAACATGTAATTTATTGACACGATGAAATGTCAAATTCCCAGCTACATTAACCTTGGTTACTTTCTACCATTTACATGTTAAAACCAGAAATTCTGGAAGGAAAATCAAATGGTTTGTGCCATTTCATTAGGGAAACTTCTGAAAATATGGGCTGTAATTTGAGGTGGTGCCATTTTTCTACTCTCTTTAGTCTGTTCGGCTGGTTTGGATAGACTTTATAGCAGGTTGTTCTCCCACCAAGCTCGAATTTTGTAGTTCTATTGGAGTTATGAACAAGATTTCCAGTTGGGTGGCCTGTGTAAATCGTGGTAAGCACCCCTAATATTATATTTTCCCATTTCCCTTCCTGAAAGTCATAACCTAGATGCTGCTGTCAAATGCTGTTAACTTTTTCATGTAGCCTGATGAAGCTGCACATGATACCATGAACCATACTGGAATATTCCTTACATTCTATCCAGGAGATTAAGCACTTCATTATACTCTAGTCCATCCATCCAGTATTTCTTCAGTTCTTCTCTCTTGCAGTGTAGTAAGGATTTGCATGCTTGAAGATGTTCTCTTAAGTTTTTCCCTTTGTCAAGAGATGCTATCGACAACAACAACAATATTATTACTGCGCTTTTCAAAAACATGCAAACTCTTAAGCTCAAAAGCTGCCTTCACAAATGTGTTTTTCCCTGTTGTCAATCATAATTAATTTCAATCACAAGGAACAAACCTCACTTGAAACACAGAAACATACAAAACAGATTGAAATCCACCAATCGCAAATCACAATCCATGACCTTTTGAACCCGCTGAAGTAAACTTTTGTTTCCTAAGAGGTCTGCTTAGATGATTTATGGGAGCAAAAAACACAAATGTCAGTTGGCTTTTGAACTTAAGAATTTGCGTGTTTTTGAAAAGTCAGTAACAAAAGTCTACACATTACAGTATGTTTTTATTGTATATCCTTATCTAATTTAAGCCCAAATATCCACATACAAATTCTCCACACCAGTAACCATACTTTTTGTTTAAAAGTCAATTACAGTGCGGATACTCCAACCGGGACAATGGGAAGAAGATTGTCCAATCAAAATGTTTTCTGAAAACAAAAGATACTCAAGTCATTTTGCAAACGGACCAATAAAATTCAAGATTCAACTATGCAATTGTTGAAAACTTTAAAACTGTTTGAACTTTCCTGATCTCTCACGAAATAGCCCTCAATTTGAAGAATGTTATTGGTCCATTTAAAAAAAAAAGAAGAAGAATCTATTGTTTCCAGAAAACGCTGTGAATGGACAATCTTCTTCCAAGTGTCCTGGTTTGAGTGTCCGCCCTATAAGACGATTTTATAAAGATTAAAGCATTTTCCCTCTGATGGTCATTTAATTCATTCTTATAATCTTTTCTCTTGATGATGTATAGACTTTGCTAGAAGAAAAAAATGTTGGTCAGTGTACCAACAATTTCATGGATTCCACTATTGCTGATACAGAAAACATGCTGACTGCATTCATTTTAAACAATACTTCTTGAAAATAAATAAAACAAAACCTGCAATTCTCGTAGAGATTCCAGTAAATGTTTGAATGCTTGACTTCAAGTTATCTTGATGAGCTGAAAAATATTATTAAAGTCATTCTATTATTGCAAAACTGACAAATTGCATTACCGGACAATGTACAAGACTGCACTCTCCCCATCCCTCCTCTTTCAGGTTTTTTTGCTCAGAAAATTATCAGACAAATATCACTTTTCCTTGACTGCAACCTGTTTGTTTGAAATTAGCCTTTCTTTTAGCTTCAAACTGATGAACTTTTCAGCAGTTCCTATCAATCCTTCGTCCCTGCTACCATTCCCCATTTGTTCTTCACAGCTTCCATCCATTTGCCGTCATTCCAATCTTTTTCCTCATTAACAGTCCAGGTGCCCATTTTTTCTGTCCATGTCCATGTCTCTTTTAACCCAGATCCTTTTCCCACATTTTCCATCTTTTTTCTGTTAACTGTATCTAAAAATTGTGACCCACTTTTTCCCTCACAACTCCCTTTTACCTTCCCTATGGGTCCTGTGGACCTCAGGGTGGAAAATCCTGGTAAGAACACAAAACAGCTGTTTTCAGTTTTTCAAAACTTGGCAAAATACTCCAATTTTTGTTTTGGAGAATTTCAGCTTGACATTTGCATTTTGATTATGTTTTAACAGCAGGCTACAAGATGCGGTCACACATTTTTACACTTTTCGTAAACCGTATACAGTGTATCTTCACTTAATTTGAAAAGTATTTTGAATGGACATGTCTGCAAATAATTTTTCTTTTAACAAAAAACATATGTCTGACTAGGTTACTGATTTATTTAGTTGAACCAGAAATGTTGTAGGACATTATGTTCTGTTGACTTTAAATTTCTTTAATCACTAAACAATCTTCAGCCACAAAATCGTAGTGTTTTGAATTTATTACCTTCCACTTGTCTGTTAAGTTTGTCATCACTTTCTCTAAGTTCATGTTGTAACCTTTCTTTCTCAATTTCTCTTCTTTCCACATTGTCACTGAAAAAAAATTAACAATATTCTAAACTAATTATCAGGTGACTGCGTGTTACTAGGACTCAAGGAGTTAAAGCAGTATGCTACATCCCTAGGAGTCCTTGAACCTTCTATTTAGCAGTTTTAAGCCTTAATTAGGGCCTTGTGCTTGTCACAGGTTGGGTACTCCAAAAAGTTTGAAATGGGGAAGCTCTGCCCCAAGGACCAATCCCTTACCCATTTATATACCATTTTTGACAGTAAAGGTAACACTTTTGTATTGTGTACCTTCTACTGACAAATGGTACCCCTTTCACATACCTAGTTAAAAAGTTTGCACCCCTTTCAACTGCTGCAAAGGCACTGTCTTTCAATAATGAATAAATCACAAAACCAGAACGTTTTCTTGACTTTTTCCCAGCCATAAAATGCATCTGGTAGCCCTTTTGGGTAGATTTCCCTACCCCTTTCATATACTTCCCCCTACCTTTAAAAGTTAATTACCCTGGTGTACTGTCACACGAGAGAGTTGAATCCACTGTAGATTTTTTGTATTTAAATTATCGAATCTGTATAATCTTTCGTTTTGTCTTTAATCTTTGTAATTGTGTGCTGGTGTACCGGGCACAACCCAAACAAAAGTAAGGTTTAAATCGAGAGGAAAATCAGCTGGTTTCATGAAGGGCGTGCAAATTAACGAAATGTACTCGATCACTTACCTACTTAATAATGTACTTATGACTGTCAAAAGCACTCTAGACTAAAGAAAAGATTTCAATAGTGTTATTTAAACAAAATGATTAAAACTTCCCGGCAAGAAATGAAAATTACCGAAGAAGATTCTTTGTGTTTCCTTCCTTTGAGGTCGAACATCTCGAACCCCGCCATCTTGTTTGTTTTTATTACCGCTGTCAGAGAAGTATGGTATCAGGGACTCACATGTGGGTCTAGTTGCCAGTCTCTCTCTAAACACATGTCAGAACAGCTTCATATTATTGACTGTCGTCACTCTGTCGTTTCGGCCGCTTCGTTCTAAGCGCATCCTCAGAGACCCAGGGGCAGCTGTACAATCCTCGTCAAAAGTCTTGAAACACTTCCCCAATGTTGATTTGGGTATTACAGTGGTCTCAGTGCTTCAAAATACGCGTGGCTCAATATTGAGGAGGGAGAGGGCACATTACAGTGAGAAAAAAAGTGTCAGGAGTAAAAATCTCAAGAATTTTCCGGAAAATTCAAGAGAAACGGTGTCTGTTTCAACGATTTGTGACCAGTATTGTAGTTGGGACGATTCTATCGTCCCGTCTAGCTGCCCCTGGGCCTCCGAGGATGTTCTAAGCGTAATCATTGTGAACTTATCAGAACAGCAGAACAACAGTCGTGATTTGTCTCAACCCTTTAACCCCCAAGAGTGACCAATATCTATTTTCTCTTAACAATTTCAACACATTTTTGAGAGAGACGGTTCAGAGAATTTATAAAATAATCACCAAAGAGGAAATGTTTTTATCCTTCATCAAAATTCTTGTCTCCAAACGGGAGTCTAAAGAATAATATGGTGACTATTGTTGTTGTTGTTTTCCCACTTTGGCCAATTTTTCGTCGCTTTATTTTTTTCTAAATCTACCTGTTATTATTTCATTATTAACGCAACTGCTTGTAAAACTTGTTTTGCAGATATAAAAGAATGGGCGCCATGAAAATTTGATTGAGGTGGAATAAAGTGCGAGCGTGGTTTACAAGGACATTCTCGACTGGATGCACACGAATCCAGACTAATCTTTGAAACTGTATAACTTTACCCCGATTCGTGTACACTGAGGCCTTAAACCACTCCGGAGAGCGGTCTCAAAAATATATTAGGCTGATTTAGTAATAGAACGGGAACGTCAGTTGACGACGACGCGCGCAAATCAGGAACAACTGGCTTGACCAATGGCAGAGGAGCAAATTGAGCACCGGAAGTCGCATTCAATCCTTTCCACGCACTGACGTTCCCTTTCTGTTGCTAAATTAGCCTAATGTTTCGGTGAGAGGATTCACTGGTTTCGTGTGTGAACGGAATACTAGACGGAAGGCCGATACATGTGAAAAATATATATAAATGCGCTTTTAAAAATATCCGTATTTGTGTGGACGGGGCTTTTTACGATAGTGTCAATCTACAAATATAACCAGAATCATTTAGGTTTTTTTCATTTCTTTCATATTTAATTCAGTAAATTCAGATGCCTTAATTTGCATGAGAAAGCCAAATTCTTAAGGATTCTAAAAAAGGCCGTTTTCACGATGGCGTCATTTTACTATACCAGATTCCTTCAGGGTTTTGCTTTCTTGTGCAAATTAGTGCTTTTGTTATTTAAACCTCAGTGGGATTACCAAATTTAAATATGAAAGAGAAAAGTGAAATGAGTCCCTTTAGTATTAAAAACAAGTGATCGCGTAAGCAGCAGCAGTTCAGAAGAGACCCCTATTGACCGCAGCTCTTTTGTTTTCGAGCTAGGTTCCAAACTTTATTTGTTCATGTTGTTTTCCCAACCAATAACAGGATGTATTCCAAGAACTGCACGGTCGCCCCTTATATGAAGAAAAGTTTTTGTAAATTTATTCGCCGTCATTACGTTATATAGAGGACATAAGCACCCGAAGACAAATTTCTTTTTCTCTGTTTACACTTTGATGACAGTGCTCCCTAAACCTTCATTTCCACGGAAAAATCACCTACATTTGATTAACTTAGCCAATTAAGATAACCCCACAAATTTTAAAAGTACACCAGATAGTTCATTTATAAATAACGTTTCGCTACCGTCGCCTCCCTAATGTCAAGCAACTGATGTTCAGTCAGTCTCTGTATTTTGAACGCCATACGTTAGTAGTTATGTCTCACGTTAGGTTGTCTGCTTTGGACTAGAAAAGGTACCAAGGCGATCGAGAAACGGACCCCGGGTGGTTTTGCCTTTCGGTCCTCGAGCGAAGGCCCCCGCGGGCTAAAAGGGACAGGACACTTCGGAAACGATAATGCCCGTCACCTGGAGCGAGGGCCTGGAAACGAGATTGATTTACAGATTGATGTTCTTAGATAATAATAGCCTGCGATCATGCTCTCCCTAAAAAAAAACGCCTGTTTAAAACAAAGACGATGAAACATGACAAACTATATTTTAAACTATTTCCTTGTTTCTGTTTTCGTCTTTTGTGGCTATGGCTTGTATTTTTGGATTCTGTTTCAGTTTTGCGGTTTAATTTTGTACGTTTTTGTGTGTGTTGCCGGTTTGTTATGCTGATTTCCGTTTGGGATTTCTGTTTCTGTTTTCTGGTAGTGTTTTTCTGTTTTGGGTTTCCCATTTTGTCTTCTGTGTTTCGTTTTGGGTTTGTTCTTTCCAATTTTTGTTGTTGTTGTTGTTGTTGTTTTGTGGTTTTTTTGTTTCTATCAGCCACCCTATATATTTGATAGTCCTCCGCATTTAATTCCAACCACTGGAGAGCACTTCAAAACTCCGTTGAAAATTTCTTCACAGAGATCAAATCGTCCAGGTAAGAAATAATCTCCTTTAACTTGGAATTTGTCCAATCAGACATTTCTGCAGGGTTTATTTTGATTTCCTGCTGTAGTTTTTTCCCTCTCTTATTTACTTAGAAATAATTAATAATAAGTTTAGACCGGTTTGCGACCGCGAAGCACAGTATTTTTGTTCAGGAGCCGATTACCGGCCCCTGGTTTGTTCCATGTTAAACAAAACGTCCGACTAGAATATTGTTTTGACCGATTTGTGTTTCTCTCCCTTCGTTGTCTCCCTTTTTCGCTACTCTCTTCCACTTCCTTCCACCCCTCCCCCGCCTCCAAACCCCTCACCCCTACCCCTCCTCCCACAAGCAATGCCGGATATTCAAGATAATTTGTGTTAAATGTGGATTTCTCATGCTGTAGACGTCACAGATTTCTAGTAATTTTAATTTTTATTACAATAGCTAACGAAGAAAGACCTGCTTTGTGCATAAATTTGTGAAACTAAGTCTTGCATCGATTAATAAGAAATTGAAGTCACGAACTTATTTAGTCAAGACATCTTCCCTCAAACAGCTGCCTTTTAAATTTTTCAATTTTCATTGGGACTACGTGAATTGTAAGACCAAAAGGTTTTCAGGAAAATTATTATTTATAAGTCAAATGGCTTTTATTTCTGCTCTATGTAAGGCAAACAATTTAAAATTTGTCGTGGTTTTCTAGTTTGTGGTTTCTCTGAAATTTGTATGTAATGTTAATGTCGCCGGGCAGCGGACNGTCCAATCAGACATTTCTGCAGGGTTTATTTTGATTTCCTGCCGTAGTTTTTTCCCTCTCTTATTTACTTAGAAATAATTAATAATAAGTTTAGACCGGTTTGCGACCGCGAAGCACAGTATTTTTGTTCAGGAGCCGATTACCGGCCCCTGGTTTGTTCCATGTTAAACAAAACGTCCGACTAGAATATTGTTTTGACCGATTTGTGTTTCTCTCCCTTCGTTGTCTCCCTTTTTCGCTACTCTCTTCCACTTCCTTCCACCCCTCCCCCGCCTCCAAACCCCTCACCCCTACCCCTCCTCCCACAAGCAATGCCGGATATTCAAGATAATTTGTGTTAAATGTGGATTTCTCATGCTGTAGACGTCACAGATTTCTAGTAATTTTAATTTTTATTACAATAGCTAACGAAGAAAGACCTGCTTTGTGCATAAATTTGTGAAACTAAGTCTTGCATCGATTAATAAGAAATTGAAGTCACGAACTTATTTAGTCAAGACATCTTCCCTCAAACAGCTGCCTTTTAAATTTTTCAATTTTCATTGGGACTACGTGAATTGTAAGACCAAAAGGTTTTCAGGAAAATTATTATTTATAAGTCAAATGGCTTTTATTTCTGCTCTATGTAAGGCAAACAATTTAAAATTTGTCGTGGTTTTCTAGTTTGTGGTTTCTCTGAAATTTGTATGTAATGTTAATGTCGCCGGGCAGCGGACTCATTTTTTTGAACTTTGACTTATTATTATAAAAACAGAAAACAATAAAAAACGTAAGAAGGATCAATTAAAACACGCGACTAATAAACGCTCACAATAAAACCAGACCCGAGATACCGTTTTAAAATCTTTATTGAAAACCAATGACAAAAAGAGTCAAATACACAGCGATTTGAAAGGAATGAAAAATTAATCCTCTTCTTCGTTCTCCTCCTTAGAGGGGGAATAAAAATTGGTCTCCAACGTCTTCGCTTTTTTGTGTGTAATTGCTCCACAATCATGACACCGAAGAAAGCCCTCTTTGATGTAATTTCTCTCCTCGGGGATTTGGTGATCGCATATCGGACAAATCTTGTTGTAATCGTGCCAAAAGCAGTTAGGACATTTCATGATCAATGTTCCGTACACTTTAGTATTCTCACAATGTTCTATTTTCTGTTTCCTGACTGTTGTCGTTTTCAGTGTCGTTGTTGCTCTCTTGGGAGTCAACTTCAACACCATTCTCAGAAGCCACTTCCTCCTCCTCCTCCTCCTCATCCTTCCCCTCCTAATTTTAAATATCCAATGAACTTTCCTCATTATTACTCTCGTTATCGGAAGCATTTTCTGCATTTCGGTAGCCTTTTTCCTTTTCTATTAAATCGCTCAGTAACTTTTTGTTCTTGATTAAACCTTTATGGACTCCTAACTCTGCAAGTCCATCTAGAAACGTATTCAGCGCACGAGGCTTGGGGGTAACGTCATTGTTGTGTGGGGGTAGCACATACTCAACAAGCTC